ATATATATACTAATCATTAGTTTTGTGACAAAGAAAAATTAGAAATAATTTAAATGCTCATTAATGGTTCAAAACAAGTGATTCATGGAGCTAAGGGTATAGCTCAGTGGCAGTGTTTACCTCACACACGTCACCTTGGTTCCAATCCCCAGCAGCACAAAATAAACAAACAAATGATAATGTATGAAATAGCTTGAAAACCACACTTTTGAATGGTTTAAATGTCCTCAACGAACTATGAAAATATGTACAATTCTTCATGAAGAAAAGGCAAGATACGTGTACAACCATATCACTGCAGATATGTATGTCCATATATGTAACACACATGAATATAAACAAGACTAACAAAAAAAAGGTTTTCAATTTTATCGAGTATGAATAGATTTTTTAAAATGGAGAACTTTTTAAAATTCTTAAGATTTTTCAGGGAAATACGTAGATTTCCATACATTAGATTTACTTTAAAGAATTGGCCAAATACACTTTTTTTAAACTATGGATATCTAATTATCAAAAATCTAAACCTACAGATCAAAAGTCATATAAAAACTACCTGTCTCTAAAATTGTTATCTTTAATTGATAGATGTTTGATGTAAATATTGCTAAAGTAACTATATTTAACATTTTAGTAGAACTTGGTTGACAAGTCCAGTTTTTGAAGGTAAATTGTTCCTTTTGTTAAAAAGAACCCAAAGTTTCTAAGTGTTAGACAAAAACAATTTAGAATTGCGCAAAATGAGCCTCTTTAGTAACAAATATTGATACTACAAAATTTTAACCAGCTATTTTACTGTGAGACATACCTGAGAGTGGTGTCTTTCCTATTTGAAGTTCTATTGGTGAGAAAGTGGGTGAAGAAATAGTTGAAGGACTGGCTACGCTTCCCAAACTGTACTTTTTTGCACTACCTTGAATAGGACTGGAAGAAAACTGCCCCTAGGATAACATAAAGTCATAAACAAACATGTTGTTTATGGTTCTGTTCAACTCATGTTGTGATATTTGTCTTCATCTTGAAAACACATTTATAAATTAGGAATTACTACCCAAGTTTAATCCCCAGTACAAAAAACAAAAACAAACCCCCCTAAAAAAATAAATTAGGAATTATTCACAACTACCAAAAGATATTTTGGAACAAAGACAACTAAGAAGACTGCTATACAGTTTTAATTTGTTAGGTTTTGAATATTAGTCAAAACAGAAATATACTGTATTTAAGCAAACCAGTACATTTTGCACCAAGCAGCTATCTGTACAAATTTTTAAAATCATTTACTCCACAAATGCCAATCCAGTTGTGTGACACTGTAAGATTCTGTCAAGATTCAATATATAACCCACACTGAGATTTCTTAAGACTCATGATAAATCAGATCCTCTCCCATGCAAAACTGGAGAGTCTGAATAAAAATATTCCTATGACTAATGAAAATACATGAACTAAGTTAATGTTCATTAAGTATAATACTCCAAAGGCAACTATTTCTTTTGAGTGAGTTCCAGGCATCAAGGTCTAAGTACATATAAAACAAAATCAGCCACTTGTGAATATTCTTCTTACCGAGCCTGGGGTCTGCAGAGGGCTCCTGCACCGTACAGGAGATAAATCTATTGAATAAAACACCTCAAGAGATGCTTGGGCACTGCTATGAGGACTTCGAGGTGAAGCTGATGGTAAGGAGTCAGAAATACTTCCATTCCCATCTAAAAAGAGCTTTCTTCTCAGAGATGAAGAACTGAGGTTTCCAGGAGACTGATCGGCAAATTCATTAGCTCTAAAATAGTCACCTATATTTAAGGTTAGTAGAATAAAAGGGAAATCTAGATGTTTTCAGAGCAATCGCACTTCTGTTATCTAATTTTAAAAAAATAAAACAGCATGTACCATGTTTGATTTTTTTTTAAAGGCAAAGTTTAACTGCATGTTTGTATATGAGACGTTTAATATCTTACATTTTTCATTATTTTTTGGAGCACTTCATTATTAGTATATAAATGCCAATAAGAGACTTATAGTTTATACCTATAGAAAAATTCATTATGATCTAAATTATTATATAAATTCATTATGATATAAATGGCTAATTCAGGCCATTTCGAGAAAAAGATATTCAGGACAGTTTCCCCACTTCTTTAGAAAAAAGCACGGCCAGGTATTCCATTTATAAAAAGTCAACAAAATAGAATGCTTGATATTAAGTTATTAAAGATTTTTAAAACTATATTTACCTAATATATTTTCTAAATTAAAGTCCACAGGAAGAGACAGCAATGTCTGACAAGCAGCTGGAAGTAAGCAAATAAATAAATAAATAAATAAATAAATAAACAAAAACATGGATAAACCAACAAAGGTGTATGACATGAAATTTAGCATGTGCTTCTCAATCAACTTTCTCCCCATGCTATTCAGGTAACTGAGTTATCCCACTTACGTGTTCTACTGCCTGCCACAACAGCTTCCTTACAAGCGGCCTCCCACTTTCTGCTATTGACAGAAACGTGTTAACAGTAAAAGTTCACCCGGCTGTGAGGCTGGCACTCTGAACTGAAAAGGAAGCCAGCCTACACTTGGGGTGAGATTTCCCACATAACACATTTTCAAAAGAATGCCTTCCAAAGCCCAAAATGATTCTTCCTAGAACAAGAAAACAACAGACCACTGCTGTTTGTAAAACATAGCTGGATGCATCTGCTTTCAAAAATCAGCTCTCATAGAGTTATACAGATCATTCACAAGAAGTCAACCATCTCAATTCCAGAGTAATGTGCTACTATACAAACTGGGTTTAAAATCAAACACTGCCTATTATGGAACTACTTCTTTATAGATAGTATTCATACTCACCATTGGTTTTTTCAGAATGAACGGTCAGCTTTCTTCCAGGAGAAGAGTCACTATTTATGTTAATACCTGTAAAACAGTTTAAGTGGAAAAATCACACATTTTATATTCACTTACCTTATCCTACTTTTTCTGGACTAAAAAGTTATATATAAGAAACTTTTATAATATTTTGAGAATAAATATCTGTATTTATAGGTGTATATTTGGGCACATTTAACTTTGAGAGAATATAAAACTAAAAAGATTAAAATTGAATTTAAATTAAGATTAAAATTAAAAGATTAGCAGAGCAAATAAGGAGGTATGACAAGTTATATTTTGTTTTTCATTTAAAAAGAT